GAATTCTATTAAAACTTTAACAATATACTTTTGGAACGAGCTTATTCCTCGCTGATGAGAACAGCTGTATCTGTTTTGCCGGGCAATCACGTGTATTTTTTTTGTTATCCCTGTTTTTTTTTTCTTTTTCTTTTCGCTTCAATGCAGAAATGTAACCGCAGATTTGCCTGATATGTTGACAATTTAATTTTTATTCTCTGCAGAACATGTTGCAACACGAACAACGAAGGGAAGGGCAAGAAAACATACGAATATTCCTTCCCTTCCCTTTGCTGTTCCTGTTGTCGTCATGAATTCCACATATGCAAAACATAAATGATAAAAAAAAAAACAATTTATTCTCCAGCAGGTCACAGCTCACTCTAGCCTTTTGTGTTCCTTATAAAGTATATTTACTTTTTTCCCACCATTTATCTATTTATTTTCCATTATAAATTTGTGATTACATGCACCCACCCCCAAAAAAAAAAAAAAAAAGAAGTAATAACGTGATATAATGAACTTGATGATAAACAGAATGAAGATAATGAAACAAGACAACATAAAATAAAATGAAACCAAACTCAAAGCAGAAGAAGTAAAGGCATTTCATAACCCTTCTAAGGTGTCTGACATACCTCAGAAGACGATGATTGCAAACCCGTTCTTAAGAAGCGCCTTTACTGGCCTTGAATGAGGCTCTGATTCATCAAAGACATGCAACGGCGCCCAGGGTTCTCCTCTCGTGCACAGGGCCAGTAAATGTCAGTTTGCAATATTGATTTGTGGCGGTTGGTCGCTAGGTACGTGTGTTTGGGCATGGTTATGTGAATTTAATATGTATAATATATATATATATTATATATATATATATATATATGTATGTATGTATGTGTATATATGTGTGTGTGTGTGTGTGTGTGTGTGTGTGTGTGTGTGTGTGTTGTGTGTGTGTGTGTGTGTGTTGTGTGTGTGTGTGTGTGTGTGTGTGTGTGTGTGTGTGTGTGTGTGTGTTGTGTGTGTGTGTGCGTGTGCGTGTGCGTGTGCGTGTGTGTGTGTGTGTGTGTGTGTGTGTGTGTGTGTATATATATATATATATATATATATATATATATATATATATATATATATATATATATAACGGACCCCAGCTATTAATCGTGATAGAGGGATCTGTCAGCTGATAGCAACCGGAATTGCAAGTTTGTTCACATATTTACAGTTTGATGTAATTAAACGGCAGTTCTCAATTATTTATTTCTCTCTGATTCTCCCTTTATCATTTTTCCCTTATCTCTTCATACATCGGTGACTTTATTATACACTCCTTTTCGGTATCAAACGAATGTGTTTGTTTAAGGAATGATGATGTAAAGATGATGATTGTAATGATGGTAAACATGGTATTGAAAGTAATGTTTATGGTTATGATAATGATAATAAGGGTAGTGATTATGATGATGAATATGACTATGATGATTTTTTATAATATGAATATGAACATGATGATGATGATGATGAAATAAGGATGATAGAGATTAGGGTGCTAATAATGGAAATTGATAACAAAAGTAATTGATAATGATAATGAAAATAATAATAATTATTATTCTAATAACACTATTGTTATCATCATCACTATTATTATCGTTCACAAAATAATCAAAAGAATAAAATAAGGAACACAAAAGGTACACTCATATCGATCAAGCAGTTCTTAAGCACATCAACAATATCTTAACGTCTTGGTGAACCTACGTGTCAAAAAAAAAAAAAAAAAAAAAAAAAAAACGAATATAATTGGGAATTTTCACTCGAAACGCCCCTATTTCGATGCAGTTAACTGGGGTTAAATACAGTCCGATATGAGTGTGTGTGTAATGTGAAGGAAGATCATGTTTATGTAGTTTCATTCAAGTGCTTCCATTGTCTATACGTACAGAGTGCATGTAGGAGTCAGATTCGTACACGTGATCGTAAAAAAAAAGAAAGAATAAGAAAATAAGAAAGTGGTATTGGTACGCAATTTCTCGTGCGAATATTTGCGAATACAATCACATCCATGCTTATAAAAGAGAGAAGAATAAAAAATAATATACGCACGTCATTCCCTTATATCACATCTAGGTTTTATCTTCAATGACACGCTTACTGCAATATTTATCCAATAATTCTCACGGCGCTGACGATAAATTTCCCTTCCCACGGAGAACCACGTTATTCCGGCGCACGAGGCTGGAGCTCAATCCTTCACAATAAATCTCTTTTAATGCTCAAACAACGGCACATCTGATCCTGCATTCACAATCTCTCTCCGGAGGGTTTCACTTCACGCTGAAACTACTTTTCGTGTCAAGTTATCTTTCCCTCGACAATGGAGAGCGCGGTTGCCACATCTCGCCGGGCGGGTCTTTTTCGTCCGCCGTTCCGCAACGCCGCAGAAAACGAAAAACTGTCATGGCGCCCGTTTTCTTTTCGTTCATCGGCGTTACGTTCGCTTAGATACAATCAGTGGGAGCTAAAAAGGAGGATTTAGATTAGCGAATCTCTGCTGGCGTCACGACAAGACAGGATTTTGGATTGACGAATCGTTGCTGACGTCATAGCAAGAAAGTAGGATCTGGATTGGCGAATCTTCGGTGACGTCATAGCAAGAAAGTAGGATCTGGATTGGCGAATCTTACCTGACGTCATAACAAGGATTTTGGAATGACTCTTTGCTGACGTCACATCACGGAAGCAGGATCTGGATTGGCGAATCTTTCCTGACGTCATAACAAGGATTTTGGATTGACGAATCTTTGCTGACGTCATAGCAAGAAAGTAGGATCTGGATTGGCGAATCTTCGGTGACGTCATAGCAAGAAAGTAGGATCTGGATTGGCGAATCTTACCTGACGTCATAACAAGGATTTTGGAATGACGAATCTGATGACGTCATAGCAAGAAAGTAGGATTTGAATTAACGAATCTTTGCTGACGTCATAAAACATCCTGTGATGTGATTTTTTTTAAAAGTGTACAGAGATGAAACGAGGGGTGGGGGGTGAGGGGGTGAGAGCCAGGTTATCACGAACGGGTTGTAAATAACTTATTACTACGAGACTAGCCTATACTAGCGCTGTCGAAACATATCATAGTCTACCTACTGATGCTCTATTTACTTATTTATTTTTGCACCACGGTCACCCACAACCACAGTCATTGTTGAGCGGTACACATCGTCTAAATTCCTCTCTCTCTCTCTCTCTCTCTCTCTCTCTCTCTGACTTTTTCTTTCTTATGGTGTGTAGGGAATATATATATATACATATTGTAATGTCTTCTGTAAAAAGTGCGATGAACGAAATTGCGTTTTTTTTTTTTTCTTTTCTTTACGATTAGTACATTATATATTTGGCATTTGGGGAAGTGATGCGTAGACCTGCCTTGAAGTAACGTATGTTTTGGAAAGAATGCCGAAACGAAATACATTTATTTAAATCTCTTTCTCTCTCTCTATCCTCTCCCCTCTCTCTCTCTTCTCTCTCTCCCTCTCTTCTCCCACTCCTTCTCTCCCCCCCTGCTCTCTCTCTGTCCCTTCCTCTCTTTTCTTTCTCTCTCTCTCTCTTCACCTGTTTCACCTCCCTCTCCTCCCTCTCTTCTCTCTCTCTCTCTTTCTCTCTCTCTCTCTCTCTCTCTCTCTCTCTCCTCTCTCTCTCTCTCTCTTCTCTCTCTCTCTCTCCTCTCTTCTCTCCTCCTCATCTCCTCTCTCTCTCTCTCTTCTCTCTCCTCTCTCTCTCTCTCCCTCTCTCTCTCTCCCGCTCTTCTCTCTCCTTCTCTCTTCTCCCTCCTCTCTCTCTCTCCTCTCTCTTTTCTCCTCCTCTCTCGTCCCTCTCCTCTCTCTCTCTCTCTCCTCTGTCTTCTCTCTTCTCCTCTCTCTCTCTCTCCTCTCTCTCTCTCTCTCTCACCCGTTCTCTCTCTCCTCCCTCTCTCCCCCCCCTCTCTCTCTCTCTCTCTCTCCTCTCTCTCTCTCATCTCTCTTCTCTCCTCTCTCTCTCTCTCTCTCTCTCTCTCTCTCTCTCTCTCTCTCTCTCTCCGTGCACCATGGAATAGAACTACAAAACATATGCTAATGTAATTATCAAAGACGCATGTGATCAAAAGAAAGTTCATGCTAGCTTATTATTCTTTAAAAAGAAAAAGAAAAAAACGAAAGAAAAGAAAAAGTTTAAGGACCAGAGTTAGGATAACATGTATAAATTCGTGAAGGTTACATAACGTCCTTCTTTCATATCGACTCGGGAGAATCTAATACCTTTAATAAACACTTCCCTGTGTTAAGCCTTTAAAAAAAAAACAGGATCACACTTACACGCAAGCTTCGAATCGTTTTCTGTCACGCTAACAGCTTTGATGCTCATATGTACAATTTGAGGGTAAATGTGAAAGGGAATTTATGACATGTTAGGAAAGTCTATACATATGTTTGTCATATTTTTTTTTCTAGAATATACTTTAACATATATGCACTACTATTAATTTAATATGGATGTTTACTGTTTTTATTATATCAATGTATACTGGTATATTGTCTTTTCCAGCTCAAATATTTCAATATAGTTTTTTAAAACTATTTTTTCAAACCATTGTCTGCACCGATGCATATCCAATGCACCTTCTTTTTACTACATAAAAAAAACAAGCTAAGTACGTCACTTTCACGTTTATATAAATCATATGTACACATCATTTCCCACTGAATATATGGTACTTTTATCATAACGCAAACTTCATTTCATTACTTCCACGTCACTCTCACCACCACGGAGCATATTAATTCCGCTCTTTGGCAACTGCAGTGTGTATGTATATGTATATATATTACATTGACGGGGGTCTTCTGGTGCTGCCGAGGAGCTTAGGGTTGGAAGTCGCTGGAGTAGAGGTATAGGGGAGAGAAAGAGAAGGAAAGGAGGGAGAGGAGGAGAGAGGGAGAGGAACACGAAGAAGACAGGAGGAAGAGGATAAGGGAAAAGAAG